CAAGGACTCCCACTTGGATGCACCAGATGACTTGGTGCTGCGCTTGGCCCGCCTTGCCCTCTCCTGCACCGCCATGCCTGTGGCCTCCCGCCCCTCCATGACTCAAGTGCTGGGAGAGCTGGTGAAGTTGAAGCAGGAAGCCTTTGGAGCACATGTAAGCGAGGCCATATCTCGCATCGACATGGAGATTGGGAGTTCCATTGGCTCCTCTGACTTCACTGCTGAAATGGCCCGTGCAGAGCGCGAGGGAATGCAGAGTGACTCCGCGGCCAGCATGTCATAGACGTACAGCACACGCTGACTGCGGGGAAAACCTATAGGGTGCTTGTTTTTTCAGACGTTGTACACCCTTTCTTAACACATCATGCTGGTGTTGCATTGTCAGGTTGTAGTAAACAACAAATCGCCGAAGTTCCACGAAAGAAACATGAGTGTGCGAATAAGAGCTGCTTAAGTTTGAGTGTAAATTGGATGGGAACAGGAGTGAAGGGAAGAATGGAAAGGGGTGACAGGTTGAGGAACAAAGGTACTATTAAGAGTGGGCAAAGGTGTCCAGCCTCGAGTATGAGGGCGGGCAGGGCATGAGCATGTCGTAGGGTTTCAAGCACCTTACGAGTTTCACTTATGAGCCAGATACAGATGGGGTACATTGCTTGGTAAACACACGGGAGTGTGCGAAGTGATAAAGGGTTTGGTAGGGATACTGATTGCATTTTAGGGTTGATGCATATGTAAAATCAAAACTGGGGTGAAATTTACATTTGAAGCATCACCGAAGCATCGTTTCGTTCATGAGCTTGGTTTAGATCCATGTCATCTGTGTTCGCTTTATTTATGCATGGGATGTGGCATGAGATCTGGTCTTTAGTATTCCTCTTCTGTTAGCACTCATAGGTTCAGAGGTTTTCCTTACCCTTGTTTAAAGCTAATTGTTTCAGACCTGGTATTCTAAGAAACCGTGACAAACCGTGTGAAGGCATTCATACCTAAAAACAATGGGTGTGTCTAACAGTAAAGCTACCAGGCTCCTCTGTATGACATACCGTAAGCCCCCCTGCCTGAAGAGCTTCACGATTTCCACATGCAACGTGTCCACTCTGCCCGAGAGCTTTGGGAATCTTCCAGCCTTGAAAGCTCTGGTGCTGCACGAGCTGCCACTTCACCGTCTCCCTGCTTCCTTCACCAGACTCGCATCTACCTGCAGGGTTTGGCCGCCTCACCGCACTCGAGACTCTGAGCCTGGCATGGTCGCCCACCCTGGACCTCAGGAAACTTGGGCGGCCTCCTCACCAATCTCCAGGCCTTTCCTCTCACAGAAAGCAGCCACAAGCAGCTGCAGTCCTTATTCGCGCAGCTGGCGTTGCTGACCAGGTTGGAGCTGGACCAGTGCTGGATCTGCCAGTGGGCATGGTGGAGATGACAAACGTGCAGGAGCTTTACATTCAAAAAAGCCCTTTCTTCAAGAAGCTTCCGAAATCCGTGACGGCGCTCGTTAGCCTTCAATTGTTTAGGGTTCAAGAAAACCCTCATGTCTTGTCGGTACCCAGGACGCTGTGCAGCCTTTCCGGGCTCACGCACTTGGAGCTGAGGGGATGTCAGCTGAACGAAGCCCCTCAGGCTCTGCCACTCACTCTCCAGGCTCTATCCTACAAGAACATTCCGCCAGGGGCGCCTCTGCCAGACATTTCAACACTCACAGAGCTCAGGGAATTGTGCTTGGGCGAAGTAGGTGCAGCATGTCTTGAGGCCGTAAGTGACCATCTCGCTGGTGTGGAGTACCTGGAGCTGGTGCTGGGAGAAGACGCCGAGGAGTCTCTGCCCCCGGTTACAAGGCTTCCCCACCTCTGCACCTTGACACTCAAGCACGTCTGCAGTGTGAACAATCTGGTGGAATTTGAGGCATTGATGGGGCTAGGCAGCTGAACATGGGCACCTGTTGCCTCACAGAGCTACCTGCGGCCACCAACACTCTCCACCACCTGACATCCATCCAGATCCGTGCTCAGAAACGGGGTAGCTGACGTAGAAACAAACAGGTGGCTGCATTGAAGCTGTGTAAGTGGTTGAAACGTGATGCTGGACCAATGCTGGGAAATATGGGGAAACATGAAATATATGGTATGTATGATGGATGAGGATTGAGGATGTCATACAAGGAGAGGTGATAGAGTAGAGGTAATGAGTGGCGGTGTCAGGGGGTTGGAATCAAGAGAGATTCTGGTATATGCACCCTTGAAAAGCAACATTGTGCAAGGAAGGGGAGATAAGCAAATGGGGGGAAGAGGGGTTTGAGTGGAGAGCGGGGGAGGAAAGGGGGGGACACGGGGGAAGGGTTTGGGTGGGGAGAGGGCAAGAAGAAAGGGGAGGGGGAAGAAAGTTCGGGTGAGAGTTGCTTCCCTGGCATTGCTGTAAATAAAAGAAGGGTAACCACGGCTAATGATACTGTACCCAATTTCTCTCTCTCTTTCTCTGAACCACCCATATTGTCACCCTGATTTTGTCACCCCTGCTTTCCTCCCCATTGTGCAGCATTGCCAGCATGCTGTGCCCTTTCAGCTGAAGCCACCTCACTTGGTTGCAGTCTTGCGAGGGGGAAGAACATTCAGGCCTTGCCATATGCACATGCTCAAAGCTACGGATACGTGACAATCATGATTCTATCATGTGCAATTTCTTGCATGGTCAAGCGCGTCCATGCATGCACCACAGCATACATAAACACCATCTAGTATACATGAGTGGCGGTGTATCAAACAACTGTGCCCTGACCCCTTACATCTGGTTAGTATTCGGGTGAGGGGAAAAGGAACAAAAAACAGTTCCACGTATGACAGCCATAGCATCTTCTCTGCAATGTCCAAACCATCCTTCCAATCCCCAATGCCCTCTTTGCAATCTTGATTCATACAGCCTTCCTTCTCTTCTTCACCCCTCTATACTCGCTCCTTTCCCACCAGAATCAGCCTAAACTTCATGGGTCTCATGGGCTGGAGAGCCTGAATATGCTACAGTTATGAAAACAGTTAAAATCACTCTAATACCCCCATTCCTCTCATCTCCCACCCTCCTCTCATCTTCCCCCCTCCTCTTTTATCCCTCACGATTCTCATAACCCCTACTCCTCTCTTCTCCTCTCTTAGCCCCCACTTACCTCATGCCCCCAGTCCCTCTCATACCCTCCCCACCCCACCCATCACTCTCCCAATTCACTCTCCTCATACCCATCACTTCTCTAATGCCTCCCTCTCTTCTCATTCTCCCCACTCCTCTCATGCCCTCATAACCCCCAATCCTCTCGGATCCCCCATTCTATAAATGCCCACCACTCCCCTCACAACCCCCATTCCCCTCACACGCCCTAATCCCCTCATACCCCCCACTCCTGTCATACCACCCACTCCGCTCGTATCCCCACTCCACTCGTACCCCCCCATTCCTGTCATTTCCACCAAAGCATTCATGGTCCCACTCTTGTCACTCCTGGTTTTGCCGTTCACCATCAGCTTCAAGCCTCTCCTCCACAATGCCCTCCAACTCCCATTGTTTCGTCTGCTCCTTCCCTGTGCTTCTGCATTTTCCATCCCACCCATGCCTTCTCATCCCACCCATGCCTTCTCATCCCACCCATGCCTTCTCATCCCACCAATGCTTTTTCACCCCACCCATGCCGTCTCATCCCAACCATGCCTTTTCATACCACCCATGCCTTTTCATTCCACCCGTTTCTTTTTCATCCCACCCATTCTATTTTCATCCCACCTATGCCTTTTTCATCCCACCCATTCTATTTTCATCCCACCTATGCCTTTTTCGTCTCACCCATGCCTTCTTATCCCAATCATGCCTTTTCATCCCACCCATGCCTTTTCATCCCATCCATGCCCTTTCCACCCACCCATGCCCTTTCAACCCACCCATGCCCTTTCATCCCACCCATGCCCTTTCAACCCACCCATGCCCTTTCCTCCCACCCATGACCTTTCATCCCACCCATGCCCTTTCATCCCAACCATGCCATTTCAACCCACCTAGGCAGGCCTCTGCGTTGTCAGGCCAACTCTACTTATACCGTGCTGTGGTGTAATTGTGCCATTTTACCCATATTTATTGACAGTGGAGGCTAATGAACATGCATGCAAGTACCGTTTTGACTTATTTATATATGTTTGGCGGAAAAGTTGGTGCTGTGCCGGTGGGACACGTGGGCCAAACATAGCTCCTTGGGACAGGAGATGGAACCAAGACACACACTGAGTTCGTAGTGGAACTGACAACCAGCAGGTGCTACTTGAAAGGAAATGTGTCATGAGAAATGGTGACATGCGGTAGCATCCTTGGGCAAGAACGAAGGGAACGTGCCGGCCGCCACTCTTGAGAGACACTCTTGCGCAGCAGTAGACTACTGCTCAGCTCAGCAGGATCCACTCGACTCGAGCACGTATCGGCGTCTGCCAAGTGGCGAGGTCTCGTCGAGTGACGGCAGCTCCTTGCTGCTGCGAAGGCCGAGGATGATGATGAAGAGCAGAGCACAGTGCCGGAGAAGCTACCTTATGCTGTGGCCGAGAAAGTGGCGGTGTGATGCGACAAGTGAACTTGGCCCTGTGGCTGCAGAATATGGGCTGTTGGAGCAACGTGGAGAGTAGGGTTGCGGCGGGTGGGGAGCTTGGGTATGCTGCTAAGTCACAAAGATGATTTCAGTAGGGCAGCTTCTGACAAGAAAACGTGTCAAGGGATTTTGATGACAAGGAATATTGGGATGCGAGGGATGGGCGTCGCCCTATGCGCTGCCACGTATGTCTTGATGCACAGGGGAAGATGCAATCTGGAGCACCCCACCATGATGCGCTGGCACATGTGGAAGAATGAACGGGAGTGGGGCGAGTGAGGGGGGGATAAAGGGGAGGGGCAGCAACGAACATGCGCATCCAAGGGAGGGTGGAGAGAGCTGCAGTGCACAGCACACCACAGCATGCCAGAGGTGGAAAGGTGTGGGGCTTTGGATGGTGGAATGGTGGGTAGGGAAGGAGGAAGAAACAACGAGGAGAGCAATGACAGGGGGAAAGCTAGGAGGGGAGAGGCTCATGCTGTGGCGCCCTGCCATGGTGGGCGGGAGAGCTGGAAAGGTGTGGGTTGGTGGGAGGGGTGGATTGATGCAGGGGAGGGAGGGCGGAACGAGTATGGGCAAGGCCGGGAGAAAGGAGCTGCAGGCTGCGGTGAAAGAGGTGGGGAGGGTTGGGCAGTGGGGTTGGGAGTAGGTGGAGAGAGCGAGGAACATGAAAGTGCATAAGTATGGGCGGGTCTCCTGGCTCCTTGGTTCATTTGTTGAGGCCCTTCAAAAGGGAGGGACATGAAGATGCATGAATATGAGTCTCCTTTCTCCTACCTAGCTCCTGCTTCGTAGCTTGTGCCTCATGCAACCACGGGAGGTGGGCACATGCACGGGCAGGGCAGGCAGTGACCTGCCGAAGCTATTTAACACCAACCATTGTAGTGAGGGCCGAAGCCAATGCACAGGGGGACTGCTATCAGGCGGTTGATGGCTGGGCTTTGTTGGGCGTCCAATGGGATGGTCCAATTCACGGCAAAACCAGAAAATCGGTTGTGTGCCAGCCGGGAATCGAACCCGGGTCTGCACCGTGCTGATGGCAGGGTGCTATTCTACCACTAGACCACTGGCACTAGGCGGATGTGAGTCTGATTTGTGGCGATGCTCAATCGGGTAATGTGCTGGGATCATGGGGTATTAGTGTGATGTGATGGGATGATGCAAACTGTCTCCACATCAAATGGATGAGACAAGAGACAATGGGGTACTAAGGGCAGTGGTGGCGCCACAGGAGGCAAATGAGAGCACCGACCTGATTCGGTAGAGATGAGTGATCGCTGATGGGTGTGCGAGTGTAGAGGCGGCAGGGAACGGATGCTACTGGCTGGACTATGCACAACTGTAGCATCCATTCCCTGCCGGAGGGAGAGAGAGGGAGACAGCAGGGCGGGTTGGAGCTGCTGCTGGCTGCACTATGCACACCTGCGGAAGTGGGGGACGGTAATAGGGTTGGGGATGGGGAGGGGGGCGTTGGTGGAGAAGGGGATGAGGGAGCGGATGGAGAAGTGGATGGGGGTGGAGAAAGGGACGGGGATGGGAAAGTGTAAGGGGAAGGGGATGGGGGGACAATACTGATCCGAGAGTGACCTGCCACCGACCCAGTAGTGACCCACTGGTGAGCCACGATTAGCCCCTTGCACCACCGACGCACCTTCTTCACCCAGCCAGCAATGAACAGTACCAGTGAGCATCAGCAGTAAGGTGTGTCAAAGAGAGAACTTGGCACAGAGTACACTCAGCAGCCCACAAGGCCACTGGTTGCCCGTGAACAGTGTGCTCGTGAACAGTGTGCTCGTGCCACTATGGCGGGAATCCGTGGCGTGGGAGTAGGTGCGGAGCTGGAAAGCATGGGAGGGGCGGGAAAAGGAGGGAAAAGGAGCAGCGTGATGATAATCCTCAATAGAGAATGAATTGAAGCCAGCTAGAAGAGAGTGAGCAGGGGAGCAGTTGAGGGAGTTGAGGGGAGAAGAGGAAGGTGAGGGTATTGGAGAAGGAAAGAACAGTTTAGAGGATAGAGATTGACAAGGGTAAGCAGAAAATTGACTTTCCTTGCTCTCTCACTCTCATTAGTTGACCTGTACACGTTTGAATCAATATAAGGACCATTTGAGAGAGCAGGGAACGAGGGACGGGAGCGGTGCCATGGTGGGAAGGATAGCATTGGGGTTTGGGCAGGCGGACGACAAGTGAGGGTGCAGGAGACGCAGGCGCACAACTGGGGGCAATCATTACGCTTCCGGCAGCGGCGCCGCTGGCAGTGGTGCAGCGGCTGGTACGAGGCATCATCCCAGTGAGGCGAGGCGAGGCGAGTCGAGGAGAGGTCATTGTCCGGCTGGACACCAGTGGTGATGACTGCGCACGCACATCGCAGGCCCAGTCATTCCAATATGGGCCATGTAGATTCGACACGGACGAGTCGCAGGCCGGGGCACGAAAAAGCCTAGACGAGTCGTGGTTGACAATTGGGATGTGTGGAGGGATGCGGGAAGGGTTGGGAGGCGGAATGAGAAGCAGAAAGGGGAAGGGGAAGGGGGCACGGGTAAAGAGAGAAGGTAACGGGAGCGGAAATGGGTAAGGGGGAAAGGAAGCGGGTCCGGGGAGGGAGATCGGTAAGGGGATGTGGAGGAGGTAAGGGGGGAGGGAGGGGTTACAAGTAAAGGGAGGGGTAAGGGTTGGGGGGGTGTGGAGAAAGGAGGGGGAAGGGGCAAGCGAAAGGGGAGTGCGTAAGGGTAATGAGAGGGGATAGGTTTGAAATAGTCCTGAGATGGTGCCTGGACAAGCAGTGTGGCTGTGCGAACGGGTGCGAGAGGGCATGAGAACAGCAAGCAGGAGCGGGGCAGAGCAGGATGGGTCGGGAATGAGGTGAGGGTTCGGAACGGGGCAATTGTGCATGGGTGGGTGGGAAGGGAGCGTTGCAGGGCGTTGTGGAGGGTCCTCTAATCTAAAACTCCCCTCGGAGCTCCAGCGCATCCCCTCTAGCCTCCGCCAGCTCCATCAGCAGCCCTGCCTTGGGCAGCCCCTGCCAGATCTAAGATACATCATCAATCCCCCCATGGCAACTGCTCACACGCATCAGCTTCACAACCCCCCTCTCCCCTCTTCCCTCTCCCGCCTTCCCTTCAACCCCCTTTGATTCAACCCCCCTTTCTTCAACCCCCCTTTCTTCAACCCCCCTACCTTCAACCCCCCTTTCTTCAACCCCCCTTTCTTCAACCCCCCTACCTTCAACCCCCCTACCTTCAAGCCCCCTACCTTCAAGCCCCCTTCATTCACCTCCCCTTCCTTTTCCTCCCGTTCCTTCACCTCCCCTTCCTTCTCCTCTCCTTCCTTCACCTCCCCTTCCTTGAGACCCCATTTCTTCAACACCCCTTCTCCCCCGCTTTCTCCCCTCACACATCTCATGTAAATCTCCACCCCGCAGGCCATAGCGACTTGGAGCTTGTCAATTGCCCGCTAACCCCATCCGCAGCCCCCCTTTCACTTTCACCGCCCCTTCGCCCCCTTCCCGCCCTCCTCCCTGTGCTCCCCGCCGCTGCCACGGCTGCCGTCAATGCGGCTTGCACCGCCAGCGCCTCTCGCCCACCTTCACCACGTATGGGGAGGGGAGGGGATGGGGAAGGGGGGGGATGGTGCCTTGGCCCGCACTGGGTGAGCCGTGCAGCTGCCCTGTGGGGGGGCACTGTGCCGGAGCTGGCTAGGAGATGAAGGTGCAGTGCAGAGCTGGCTGGGGAGGAGGCGGAAGGGAGGGAAAGGAGGCATGGCTTCACAAGCAACGCACTGATGACATCTACTCTAGCTTTGGCGGTGGTAATGCATAGACTTGGGAAGAGCAGGTAATGCGCGCCGAGCTGGTCGGATGCCTACGCACTCCGGCCAGCTATGCGCACATAGACTGAGACTGGGAAATGATTGACATTTCTACTTGGCTAAAGGTTCACGTCACAATGAAGAATGCCCTAAGGAACAAAAAAATGACCTCATTCGCTTGTAAGCATGTCCAGTCCGAGAAGCTCCACCCTCTCTGGTGTGTAAGTGCGCGCGGATGAGGCACAGTTTCTCAGAATCCCAACCACTAGACCATTGGGATAAAAGGGCTTGTTTCAGTAGCGAGTCAGTGCGCCCATAACCCCCCAGGCAAACGTGCCTGTAACCCTTCCCTAGGATCGATCGGGAATCACCAGTGGACCTCTGACACAGTTGCACTCACCCCGTTCGTAAAGCAAGTTCAGTCAAAGCCGTGAAGAACAGTAGGCGTGCGATTGCTGGAGTGGCATGTGTGAGCAGCCATGCGAAGCTCAGACGCTGGCTTCCATCTCCCCATGTGTTCTGCTGGTCTGTATGATCTGGAGCTGTCCGGAGGTGCGAGCAGAGAGAGGGAGAGACGAGGGGAAAACAAAAGAAGGGAGAGATAGGCAAAATGAGAGGGAGGAGGCCTAGATGCAATCATGTCCCGAAAGGGACATCTGCCATGAGTTCATGACTGTCGTGGACTCTACTCATTTTAGCACCAGCTAAATAACGGCTTGATGTCGTGTCGTGAACGCATGCGGCGGGGAATAGTGAAGCACGAAAAGCTGCAGCGCAAGATGAGCATGAGCATCAACGCGCCCTCGCAACACTTTTTCACCGTTCCCGAGAGTATCAAAACATGGTTCCACGGCATCTCAGAAGAATTCACGATGATCGCGTGGCAACAGAGTGATTCAGGGCATCGCAAAGGACAGGAAGCCGAAAAGAGGGACCGAGGTGTGTGAAAACAATCCGCGATTCGCGAGCGACTCTGCTGCTGCCTGCGAAAAGCTGTGCGTGGCAAGGGTAATAATTTCAAGCTGCTAGAGGGTAATCACCCGCAGGGTGTAACTGATACACTGCGTAGATGTTGATATCTGTCTCTTCCACACACTTCTATGCTGCCGTATCGAGCTCGCTATTGGTTTACGCCGTATCGACCCTGGCTTTAAGCAGCTCTCATCGGGAACGAGACCTACTGACGCAGCGACGAGTTTCCACTAAGCTGAAGCTGGAGAAGGTGGAGAAAGGTGCTTCGCCAGTTGGAGAAAATGGAAATACGAGATCGCCCACCACCCGTCGCTTATTCAGAAGAACGCACCTCACTCTCCCTCTATTCGTCCGCCCTCAACCGTGTCCAGCAGCCTGGACCAACTTCGACCACAGCTTCTCGCGTGCCCTGCCACGTCAGCAGCATCCGGCATGCTGCTGCAGAGGTGAAGAGTGTGCTGGCACCATGGGGGTGGGAGGCAGTGGAGCACACGTTGGTGCGGGAGCAGCAGGTGCGGAGCTGGTGGAAGGAGGGATGAGGGGAGGGGAAGAAAGGGATGTGGAAGACAGTGCTTCGGGGGCGGGAGTCCATGGGCCAGGAGTCGGTGAAGTGTGGGAGAAGCAGGTGAGGAGCTGGTGGTACGAGGGGTGGGGAGGGATGAAAGAAGGAAATGGGTGTTGAAGGCGAGGCGCGGTACAGCCTTGGCAAGGAGTGAACAGTGCACAGGTTCCTTGTGACGCCAATGTAAGAGCCAGTCTAGGACTTGGGAAGAGAGCGCAGCCTCAGCACCCCACATTTCCCCTGTGCACAGTGCGCCCATGCTGCAGGTGCGTGTGAAATTCACGGGTCAGAACCCGGTGCAGGAGAAGCAGGGGTGGTGTGGAGCTGGTGGGAAGACAGGGGAAGGGTTGGAGGAGAGGTGGGAAGGGGAGAGGAAGGGACAGTGCGTGGTGAGCGCTGTGAGGCCACACTATGAGGGCGCAATGCCGTGGGCCAGATGTCAAAGTAGGAGCACCAGATGCAGCGCTGGGGCGGTGGCTGGAGAAGGGGGGAAATGGGAGAGGGTATGGCGTGGGGAGGGCGAGGGTATGGGATGTGGAGGGAGAGGGTATGGGGTGGGGAGGGAGAGGGTATGGGGCGAGGAGGGAGGGTACAGCGCGCGGGTGAGAGCAGTGCGGCACCACAGTAGCGCAGGAATTCGTGGGGCAAATACTGACATAGGAGAATAGGTGCGGAGCTGAGAGGGGTGGGGAAGGGGGTGGTGGGGAAGAAGAGGGTATGGGAAAGGGAGGGAGGGGATGGTGCCTTGGCCCGCACTGGATGAACAGTGCGACTGCGCTGTGGGGGCCCGATTCCCGTGCAGACTTGTGGCGGTCGGAGATGCAGGTGCGACGCAGTGCTGGCTGGGTGGGAGGGGGAAGGCAGGGAAAGGAGGGAAAGTGACAGTGGCTTATAAGAAGGATGTCGGAGAGAAATAGTAGGGGTATGAACACGTGGGCCAGAAGCGGGTATGGGAGAAGCAGGTGGGAAGCGGATCTGAGAAGGACGGAGGGCGTCGATGAGAAGGATGTGCGGAGCAGGACAGCGCCATAGCGGGGTGCGTCTGTGATCGTAGGCGTAGGCGCCATAACTCTCGTTGACACCCAGCTGTTCAACTCGCCCCAACACTGCCTGCAAGTGACTCATGATATTGCTACACGCATATCCCCCACCCCGATCCGCTCTCACCTGGGCCATCTCCAGCTTGTGTCAACCGCCGCCCCCACCCCTTGCACCCATCCATAACACCGCACGCATCCTCTATGGTCTCCGCCCTGCCCCAGCAGCATCCCGTCTCCTCCCCTCCTTCAGCCTCCCTTCACTCCCCTTCACCCCCACTTCACTCCCCTTCACCTCCGTTCACTCCCCGTTAACCCCTCTTCGCTCCCCTTTGTTGAGATTGCACTGACCCTGCAGAAGGTCGTCGAGTTCTGCGGGGACGCGAAATTCTACCGAAGCGGAAATTCGCAGAGGACAGGGCGGAGCTCTGCACTGCAGCAGAAGTACTTCGCAGAAGCGGAAACGAAGTCCTGCTGCAGAGGAACGCGAGTCTGCAGAAGAGGGCGAATCTGCAGAGCAGATCGTGGTGCTGCAAGGAGGGCGCATCCGCAGAGTTTTCGGAGCTGCAGAAGAAGGCGCATCTGCAGAAACGAAATTCTGCAGAGGATCACAATTTCGATCGGCGAACCCTTCCGACGCGAAAACGCGATCGTTTCGGAACTTTTGCGTGGGAATTTCGGAACATTGCGGACATTGAGAAATTGACCCCCGGAAACATTGCGTGAACTTGGGGTGTTCAATCTGGGGCCGAATTGAACCACCTGAGCAAACTGAACCTGGCGCACGTTTTCGTAACTAAGAAAACGTGCGTTACAAAAGCTGTTTAAAACAACCTGAACAGCTAAAACAACTACTTTTAGGTAGGTAAAAATTACCTACTAAGCACATGTTGTAATTTTTACCTGCCGACGCTGAGTTGGCAAAGCGCAGCTAAAAGTAGTTATGTAAACGCTCTTGGGCGAACGTTCTCTGAATGGTTCATTGGTTGGGTAGCTTCTATTTCACCCCTTGTTTGTATTCTATTTTTCTACAATTCTAGTGAATTTTCTGTGTGTGCCAAAGCTATGCCTTTCTCAACACTTAGCCAAATTTCTCCTTAGTGAACAACAAAGTTTGCGTGGCTGCAGAGAAGCATTTCGTAGAGCTCCAACTCCCGTTAGAGCAGAAATCTCTGCATGGTGCGGTGAGCGTGGATCGAACACGCATAGAGTCTGTTCTTCGACGTTAGGTCTCATTGAACTTAGCTAGTCGACATGGTGGGCTCTGAGGAAAACCTCGAGACGTTCGACAGTTTAAGTGAGCAGGAGGCTGCTTTGATGGCTTGTCATGAAGGCGGAGATCTTACCGAGCGGGAGCTCAACTTTATGCTCTTGGGAGCACGAGCTCAATGGGAGATGGACCATCCGCAGACTCGTTCAGAGGAAGACGGGGCATCACAGACTTCTGGAGACGACGAGAACGCTGAAGAACCGGAAGAAGGCGGAATGCAGGAGCCACGAGGTGTGCTAGGACAAGGAGAACCGATGAGCCCTGGAGAAGGCTCGCAGCAGAAGGCGGATGCAAGTCCGAAGAAGGCGACTGGCAAAGGACGCTTGAGTGGTCGAGGATCTGCAGTGAAGACTGGTGGAAGCTCTGCGGTTTCTCATCCATCGGCATCGAAAGACGGCGGAATTGCTCCTGATTATGGATACTTCAAATTTTCTCCTGACAAGATCACGGTGCCGAAGCCTCTGGAAGGACGTCATGACTTATCCGTGTGGAGGGAGTCCATTGAGCCCCAACTTGAAATCGCGCAGCTGAAGCAGTTCATCGACGGCTCGATCAAGGTTCCACGGCTGAGCAATATTTCGCAGTATACACAATTTCGCTCGGCGCAGCTACTGACCTTTATGGTGATATCGCGCTGCTGCTCTCCATCCGTGAAGATCGCCTTGAAGTCATGCCGTTTTCGAGTGGACGCGGGCTACCAGGCGTGGCGCTTCATCATGGAGACCTACAAAGCAACGGACTATCTCTATATCGGCCAGCTGGAGAGGAGCTTGGCGACGCTAGAGATGGCGGAACATGAGACGGCGACGACCTACTGCAATTGTGCGCAGATGATTCTCGCTAATCTGCGAATGGCTGGCGTGAACTATTCGATGGCCTCGTATGTGACTCATCTCCTTACAGGTCTTCCCGCGGAGTACAAGTATCTTCGACGGATGCTACAATCTCCGGAAAACTGCAAGACCCTCGACGAAAACACTTTGACGAGCAGAATTCTCGCGGAGGAGTGCACGCTCGAGCTCGAAAAGCGGAAGGAATCACCTCTGCCACAGGTCAACTGGGCGTCGACGGGACAGCAGCAGCAGCAGAAGCGTTGGTCTTCTTCGACAACTGGCGGTTCTACGGAGCAGAAGTCGTCAAACAAGGAGCAGCAGAAGAAAGGTGGTCAACAGCCGAACAACGAACGGAGCTCGAAGAAACCTTGCTGGGTCTGCGGAGAAGTCGGACACTTTGCGTTCCAGTGCGAACAACGCGCCGACAAGAAGAACAATGCTTCCGCGCAGAAGGAGAGTTCTTCGAAGACTGGAGCGCAGAGCGACAACTCCAATTTGACCAACAAAAAGGGACCTTCTTGTTCAATGGTGGGACCAGTTGTGGACCAACTGCAGAAAACCGATCTGCTCATTTCGCTGAATGCGGAAGATGGTGAGGATTTTCAGGCGATTGCTGCAGCCGTCGAGGCCGATCCTGCAGTTGTTCTTCTCGATAGTGGCTGCTCACATCATCTGATGGGCGACGATGCAGCCTTTGTCGTAATGCATGAAGGCGGCGACATTAAACATGTTCGCGGATTCAACGGGGCATTCCAAGACGTGTGTGGTCGCAGAACAATCGCTCTACGTGGTGAAGCTGGGAAGCAGATTCTGATTTCTGATGTGCTCTACGTGCCTGGAATCCATTCGAATCTGTTGTCTGCTGGGCAGCTAAAGGATTGTGGAGTAAAGCTGAAGGATGAAGGTGAAGAGACCCTCCTTCTCTCTACTGATGGGACAGTCCTTGGACGCGCTCGTTATCGAGGACGAGTGCTCAGCACAGATTTCCAGGTGTGGCCGCTGCAGAACTCGGCAGAGGAGGCGATTGCTCTGCGGACCTTGGCGACGGATACACGGGCGAAGATGGTCGTGTGGCATCCTCGACTTGCTCATGCGGGTGTCGAAACAATCAAGCAGACGGCGACGCATGGTGCAGCGACAGGCTTGGATATTGACAAGTCGGCCAACCCTGATCTACCGTGTGTTTCTTGTGTGGGGGGAAAGCTTATTCGACATAGTTTCCCTCAAGAGGGGAGTGAAGAGCAGAAGGTGCTGGGAGTAGTGCACATCGATCTCTGCGGGCCCTTCCGAGTTCCTGCGAAAGATGGCAGCCGCTACTTTCTTCTGCTCAAGGATCGAAAATCTCGCTACGTCTGGCTCTACCCGATTGCGCAGAAAAGCGATGCTCTGCGCGTTTTCCAGAAGTGGCTTCCGCGTGCAGAGAGGCAATGTGAGGCTACGCTGAAGGCTCTCCGTTCCGATCGAGGTGGCGAATTATTGGAAAGTAAATTCACCGAGTTCCTCGAACAGAAGGGGATTGAGCACGACCTCACCTGCCCCTATACGCCGCAGCAGAACGGGATGGCGGAACGTGAAATGCGGACTGTCGTCGAAGCAGTTAGGACGATGCTTCTGCACATGGGAGCTCCCCACCATTGGTGGCACCTTACAGCTCTGCAAGCTGTTTGGGTGAGGAATCGTCTAGAACATTCCTCTCTGCCATCAGGGGTAACTCCTTATGAAGTGCTCTTCGACAAGAAGCCTGACCTTGGTATGGCTAGAGTTTGGGGGTGCATGCTGCAGTACCTCATTCCGGAAAGTCAGCGGGGGGGGAAGTTGGAGCCGAAAGCTCGTTAGGGTCTCCACCTGGGTGTCTCACAGCAGAGTAAGGGGTGGTTGGTTCTCGACTTGTCGAGCAACCGTTTGATCACCACGGTCGAAGCCATCTTCTACGAGACAATGTCTCTTGCAGAGTGGAAGGCGACGAAGCAAAGTCCCACCGTCGACCGTGCTGCGCTCGACATGTGGCATCCTTCCCGTCGGATCCTGCGGATGATGACGACGATGATGACGAAGAGACTAGGGCTCCAGCCCCTCTGCTCGTGCCTACGCCGATTCCTCGCCCGCAGCTGCCTTCTGACAACTCTCCAGTGCAACTCTCGCCGTTGCAAGAGACTCCTCCTGCAGAAGACACTTCTCCTGCAGATGACGGTCCTTCCGATGAGCAGGTTCCTTCTACTGAAGACATTCGCTCTGACTGTTCTTCGACAGGGAAGCAATTGTCGACTGCCTCTTCTTCGACGTTCTTTCCTTCGACTGAAAAATTGGTGCCATTGTCGACGCTCCTTGGCGAAGAGGGGAGCAAATTGCCGCTGAATGTCGTCGCCAATGAGCGTCGAGAAGTCCAACAGCCTGCAGACAAAAAATCCGCAGAAGAGCGATCCGCAGAAGAGCAATCGGCAGAAGATCAATCTGCAGACGAGCTGCCTGCAGAAGAAAATGTCGACGAAGAGATGCCTGAGTTGGAAGAAATTGCCGCAGAAGAGCAACCTGTCGAAGAAGGACCGGCAGAAGAAAATGTTCAGGTTTCTCGCTACGGTCGAAAGATTCAGAAGCCACTCCGCTTCCGCGAAGGTCTTACGATGTTTACGACGACTTCGCTCGACGGCATGCATGAGGATGTAGTACAGAAAGAGCTCGACTCTGCTGACGAGTGCGTCGTCGACACGGATCATTGTTGGGACATTTCGACTATGACAGTTGCAGAAGCTCTACGAAGCTGGAAGAGTGAAGCAGTCAAAGCAGCAATGGACGCAGAGATGCAGACTCTCTACGACCAAGAGACTTGGGAGCTGGTACCTCGTCCGCCTGGGGTCAATGTGATGAAGAATCGATGGGTTTTGACGACGAAGTACAACCCAGATGATACGGTCGACCGAGAGAAGGGTCGACTTGTCGTCAAAGGATACACGCAGACCCCTGACGAATTCGACGCTATATTTGCCCCCGTCGGAAGCTACGGAACTGCTCGGATGCATCTGTCGAACGCAGCTAATG